GATGTCGAACGCTGCCGAACGCGGAGGCCGATTGTGCCTCTTTGTCGCTCGTTCCGCGCTCTCGCTTGCACTTCAAGCCTTAAATGGAACGCCTCAGAGCGAGGTAACGCCGCATGAGTCATGTTTTTTCGTGCGTGCAGCCGGCTCCATCGAATTATAAGACGTTGTCACGTCAAAAAATAAAAGGACTTACCTAGATAGGGAATGCTTGATAAGAATCCGTTGTTTTTGGCGTCAAAATGGAGTACTTCCATCATGTAAGTGGGCAACTGATTGACCACCGTGAAGTAGCCGAAAATGGAGCAGGTGTGGACAATGATAATGGCCCAAACTGGTGCCGAAGTGAGAATGGCCAGCCAGGGCACACGCGTTGGTTTCACACTGTTACCGGATGCGACCGCAATTGCGGTTTCAATTTCGCAACGTTCTTGCGCAGTGATGCGAGGATGTTCTGCTGGCGAGTCAAAAACTAAAAAGAACCAACTTATTGACCAAATCATGCCTACAACCCCAGTGCAGTAGAAGACGCTAGGCCAGCCAAACCTTTCCGTCAATAGTCCGCTGACGGTCATAGTTAGCGCTGCACCGAGCGACGACGCCATCATGTTGGCTATGAATTTTGACCGTTCTAACGGCGGTATCCATTTGGCCGCCATGGGCGGAATGGCGGGCCACGTGGCGCCCAAGAAGAAACCCATCAAAACGCGCGAAAACAATATCGCCTGAATGGGAAGATCACAGATAACTGGCGTGAGTATTGTCAACAGACTCGCTGCCAACATGCCACCGCCAAAAACCCTACGAGCCCCGATAATTTCGGCCAGACGGCCGCCGGGGATTTCGGTGAGAATGTAGCCCCAGAAGAAGTAGCCTAAAATATCATTTTTGGCATAAGTGTCCCAGTGATAACGCTTAACACCTTCAACTTTTACAGAATCGGTCGAATTACGGGCCACCGACGTCTCGTTGATCTGAATCATGTCGGTTATAGCCATCGCCAAATTTACCCTTAGCATGTAATTGAACATAAAGCCCAATATTACCATTATATTTAAAACTTGACGACATGTTAACCAAGCTGAAACAACGAAATAGTCTAATTTATAAAAACATTAAACGTTAAAAATGTTCTGTGAACTAAACTGTAAATAAAACAGTAAAACCCAAAATTCCACATATAAACTTAAGACTTAGAATTACGAGCCATTTTAGGATTTATGGTTTTCTGTAATCTAATTCTTGTCTAGTAGATTTTTTGTGAAACAGAAAGTAAAACACACTGGAGAAGACAATTACTTTTAAATTGATAATGCTCTCTATCGACCGAAACTAATTCGTTATTCGTTGAAAACTAATAGCTTATTTTAAGTGAAACTTCTTTGAGTTAGTTTCTTATAAAAAGATCCCTAAATGATCTACCGATCTTCTTAATGAACGAAGCTTACGTAATTCTACGAAGAGTTGGCTCCAAAATTGATTACAATTTATCTCTAGACTTTTCTAGTATGTATTGCACCCATGAGATCTCGTTAACCAAAACTTCTCATTATGCTATTTAAACATTTCATTCACATTTCAGCAAAACTTGAAATGGGACTTTAGCGCTTTAATTCACAGTGTTTTTTATCATCTGAGCTTATGTACGGGTGCGAAACATGGAAAGTGGGGGCGGCGAAAAAGAAAAGGTTAGAAGCGTTCGAAATGTGGTGTTACAAGCAAATGATGAGGATACCGTGGATAGAGAACGTTAGAAATGAGGAGGTATTAGAATGAATAAGAGAATAGAGGACTCTATGGAAATCAATAAAAAATAGGCGAGATAGATTGGTAGGATATATATATGCTTTATATCCCAACTGCTCCTTCCGTCCTAACTTATCTGTCTTCCTAGATACCTCAGCCACTTCTTCTAAACTTTCGTCTCCTATATTTAAAATTCGCTCTTTCCCTACTTGTTTTCAACTTAAACACGCCATAATAGTAAACAAATATGCAAGTGTAATACTTAGTGAAATTACTTGCTGTGGTAAACTTAATTCTTTATTCAGAATTTTCGCAATTATTTAGTAAAATCGTGTTTTTACCAATTTGCCTGTATTTTCTCTTTAATTCTTATTAGGTACATTCGATAAAAAAGAATAAAAAAAAATATTTTTCAATATTAGTACCTTAGCTAAAACCTCCATGCTTCCAATTAAATATATTTTTTTTTTGTAAGTTATTAGATACACTCTTAATAGTGTTATATTTTCGAATTTGTTTCTTCTAAAACGTATAGTTCGATTTATTCCTAAAAACACAATATAAAAACGTACATGTATCATAAAACAAATTTTTGGGTTTTAGTACACGTCTTTACCTTTGAATTGATCGCTAATTAAGTGCCGATATCACGAAATTAAGTTTGGATATTGATGATTGAAGTTTGGTATCATTGGTTATATGTGGTTTGGCGTTACTTCTTATCTTCTTTGGGGTTACACTTAAACCTTTGTTTTTCTTTTGCAACCTAAAATTCACTCTTGCCAATGGTGAAAGCCTGCACTCATTTATTTAATAGACTGTCAAAGTTGACTGTCGATAGTAGTCCACTTTAATGCCAGATTATGTCTCATTTCCGATGCAGTCGCAAAGCGCCTCAGTTGTGAAATAACAGTTCAAAAATATGAAATATTAATTACGTCATATTATTTTTTAATTAATGTAATCCGAATTCACCGTAACATTTCTAATCAATTAGTTTATTTTTATTTAATTTCTGATTTTACTATTCACGANTAAATTTAGATATAATGGGTAGTCTTCAAAAGTACTCGTTCGATTTTAAAAATTATTTCATCAAAATTTACAATGCATCTTGAGGTTTGACGTGTAAATAAAAGGGCATTTGGAACGTTTGTCGCCAATACAAACGTAAGAACGAATGCTTTTTTTTTTACTAACGTTACTATAACAGCAAGAGATGTATGAATGTTTTCTGTACAAAAATTGTAGAGCTTAAGACCTGTAAATCTCGCTTTATTTTGTATCTTTGTTAATCAACCGCAGTCTTCGATATATGTATTAATTAACTAAAAAACATTTATTTGGATTAAATTTACCCACTACAGATAACTTCAAATTGATAAATTAATGAGGAAAAATTGTTGCTGCTGTTATTCCCTTGCCGGGAATCGAACCCGGGCCCCTGGTTTCACGTACTAGTATCAGAAGCCCGGGTGAATAAAATAAACTCAAAAAATTAATTCACTAATATATTTTTATCTCGTAGTTTGTCATCTTTTTTCTACCCACTTTGTATATTTCTTATCTGTTGTTCACCTGTTTCTACTTTTTCTACCCCCATATTAAATCCTATAAAAACTATGCGTCTAATTGTCACGTTCAACAACCTTTTCCTCCTGACTCTGTCATTTTTACGCAACTTTTTTCTCTATATAACAAAACATTTGTTTTCGCTAGTTATGCATCTGTGTGCATTATATCGTTGTTATATTCCCCATTACCTACGTGTCCGAAATAGATATACTTTTCACCTTTTTTATCATTTCCCCTTCCATTTTAATTCCTTTTTTCTTGCTTTTCTTCATCCTACTTCTCCAAATTCCATTAAGAGTACTTAATCTTAATTACGTTCAACTCTAGTCCCTTACTTTTTAAATATTTTTCTAAAGTTCTCATCATCCATCGTCCTTCCCAACGCATTTTCCTTCCACTATCCCCCCCCCCCTCAACCTTATTAATCTCTTTTGAGTTAACTTAATTATTCATACATATATAAATCGTTGAGTACTTAATTTACCACCTTGTCTGT